TGAGTGATACATCTTTTTTTGTTGTTGTTGCTAATCTTTACCAGAGGATGGAGGGATATATATATATATATATATATATATATATATATATATATATATTTTATTTTTACATTGATTTTTCAGAGAATGAAAGGGAGATGGAGGGAGGGAGGGAGGGAGGGAGGGACAAAGAGAGGGAGAAACATCAATGTGAGAGAGAGACATCGATTGGCTGCCTCCCACACATGCCTCAACAGGAGTCAGGTATCGAGCCTGCAACCAAGGTATGTGCCCTTTACCAGAATCAAACCTGACACCCTTCAGTCCTCAGGCTGACACTCTAACCACCGAGCCAAACTGGCTAGGGCAAGAGTGATACATTTTGATTCACAATATGAATATATCTCACTAGGCCTGGCACCTTAAGTATGTAGGTAGTGGAGGAGAAACATTGTTTAAAATGTATGGAGTCAGAAACTATTCTGTGGAAAATTCTTCTACTCATTAGATGGTAAATTTGTAAGCAGAGGATTTGATTGTCATTGAGCCTTGTCAAAAAGGAAAATCTATTTTAGTAGGAATATACTCAATATGCAGTGCATACAATTATGAATGTATCATATTTTTTAAAAATTCTGATGGGAATCATGCAAAATAGAATTTATCAGAATTTTTCTGTTTGTAGAATACAAACTTACAGCAATTACAATTATTATAAACTAGAGGCCTAGTGCACGAAATTCATGCGGGGGAGGGGGGGGAGGGGTCCCTCAGCCCGGCCTGTGCCCTCTCACAGTCTGGAACCCCTTGGTGGGTGTCTGCCTGCAGGCCTAAGCCCCCTCACAGTCTGGGACTCCTCACTCCTTATCACCCGCCTGCTTGCTGTTCCTTACCACTCCCTCGCTGCTCCTTAGTCCTGCTGCTGAGGTAGGAGAGGCTCCCGCCACCGCTGCTGTGCTCGCCAGCCATGAGCCTGGCATCTGGCTGAGCAGCAGTCCCCCTGTGGGAGCACACTGACCACCAGGGGGCAGCTCCTGCGTTGAGCGCCTGTGGTCAGTGCGCATCATAGCGACCGGTCTTTCTGGTCGTTCTGCCATAACGGTCGCTTAGGCTTTTATAATATAGATATTAATTTTTTGAGTAGACCTTTATTTCTTAGAGCAGATTTAGGGTCACAGAAAAATAAAGTGGAAAGTACAGAGGTTTCTCATATCCTTCCTGCCCCCGCATCAACATCCCTCACCAGAGTGGTACAAGTGTTACAACTGATGAACCCACATTACACATCATTACCACCCGAAGTCCAGAGTAAATATTAACTTTTGTACCTAACTTTATAATTTTGTATTTTTCTTAATTAGAGATCTTCAATTTTATAAGCTTCAGGACCCAGAAATATTTGCTTTTTAACAAGATGATTTATGTTTTTACTGAAGTTCTAATCTCTACTGAGATGTTTTTCTTCTTCTTACTCAAATATCTATGCCTTTGATTGCCCAGAGTGAACTCTTCCATTGACTTATGGCACTCTTCCAGGTTATAATTCAATCTGGGTGGGAAATTTCACTAAGTGCTATTTTATGGCTTACTTTGCAATGCCAATCATTACTTTTTCACCATGCAATTTAGCTGTATTGGTGATGCATAAAGTTAATTCATAAAGAAATGACCTGAGTTTGTTGATACTTCATTGACAACTTGCTGTAGGACAATAAATTTTCAGCTTTGTAATCGCAAAAGTATTGACAAGTCCAACAACATACTAATGAAAACTGAGGAGCCAAAATACTAATCTGCTCCCAATACTAAAGGAAAAACATAGACCTCAACTCCTCTTTTAAAGTTGTTTTCATGGTTTTAGAGTTGAGCATAAACAAGTTCTAATGTCTTTCTAACTCACACCTCCCTTCACATTCTCTCCAAGTCTGAGATTGGGATTTCATTGGGTCCTAAGGGCCTTAGGGGGATAGGGAATGAAAGAATTGCAGTTGTTTAGTTCCTTTTACCTAGTCAAAGTTTCCACATGTAGGCTACAATTTGAAATTTCAACTGAAAAAGTGTTGTGAAAGCTTTTTGTCAATCATAAGTGTTGTAGAAATGTTACTTTGTTGATGTTACTGTTGTCATTATGATGGAGGTTACTTTTCATTTTTATTAGAGACAAATAAAAGAAATTGGTTAACCTGAAGAAATTTAGCTCTTTCTTAAAAAATTTGTTTTTATTGATTTTATAGAGACAGGAAAGGAGAGGGATAGAGAGATAGAAACATCAATGACATTGAATGGCTACCTCCTGCACACCCCCTACTGGGGACCAAGCCTGCAACCAGGAGGCGTGTGCCCTGACCAGGAATCAAACCAGTAACCTCTTGGTTCATGGGTGGATGCTCAACCACTGAGCCACACCATCTGGGCAGATTTAACTTTTTTTTCTTTATCTTTAAATTCTTTATTAGTTAAGGAATTACAAATGTGTCCTCATTCCACCCCATTAACCCCCATCCTCCCCCCACACCACTCATGCTCTCATCCCCCTGTTGTCCATGTCCATTGGTTAGGCTTATATGCATGCATACAAGTCCTTTGGTTGATCTCTTCCCCTTACCCCCACCCTCCCCTTCTTTCCCTCTAGGGAATAATAGTCTGATAGCTGTTTCTCTGTCTTTGGATCTGTCCCTGTTCATCAGTCTAAGATTTAGCTTTTAATGGGAAAAAATCCTGACTCTGAAACAAAATAAGGGTGATTTGCTAGGCTTTGGCAGTGAAGGTTATTGTAAGGTTGGGGGGAAAAAGGACTGGAAACACTGTATGTATCTACTTAGTAATTCCAATCTTTCCAGTCTTTTTGAGGCTAATTCCATTAAGTAGAAAATTAAATAATGTTGATTATGCCTACACAAATATATTTTGGTATGTATAAATGTAAGTCAACACCAGTAGTACAAGGATGACTTGCAACGAAGAAAAGAGTCACTCTAAAGAAAAAGCAAATTATTAAAAGGAACCTAAAAATAGTTAGGCTTTCTACACTTGAGAGGAAATATCTGCCTAGCAATTAAATATTCATTTATAGACACATATAGAGACAACACAAAAATGCCTTTTAACATGTACCATTAGAACGAGAAGAAAGTGTGGTTGTAGCTCTGGTTCTACCATACTCATTTTAAATATTTCATTAAAATGATCTCTTGAAAGGAACTATTGTGTTGGCTTAAAAGCATCACAGTGAATTAAAAATTGTGATTAATTAAAGGTATAATTCAGATTTGCTTTGGAGAAAATTTGGATGATTTGAGTTTATCTATGTTCAATAAAGTTAAGTTTTAGGGTGAAATGTGTTTATACTTTTGGAAATATAATACATTTTCAAATCTTTAATCTGCTTTGGTAAAAAAAATCATATTTTAGACTGGTCTGGATGTTAGTAAATAAATGTGATTTGTTCAAAATGTTGTTTCATGGTTCAGTTCTGTTCAAGCCACTCTTATGCATGACCCCAAAGCTGCAGTGAAAAGATTACTACTGCAGAAAAAAAGTCAGAAATGAAGTATTTATCATCAATAATTTACGTTGCCACGAGATTATAAAACTGATATGTTATCTTTACACAAATGCTGAGTAAAACATGTAATCAGAACAATAAAAAATAACCAGTTCAGCATTATTAATAGCTGGGAAGACTTAATAACAAATTCAACATAAACAAAAGAAACGAGGATCCTACCCATATCCGCAGAGCCAACTTTTGTTTCTGAAGCCAGGCCAATAGTTCTGAGCATCTTAGCACTGGGTGATCACAATACTGCTCTGACTTCATAGTCCAGTCCTCTTCCTCTCATGTCTATGTTTTATTTTCCCCTCTCTAATATAGTCTTTGATAACTTTATACAGAACAAAGTGAGGAGGGAAACACAGAGAAAATGATTTCCTGAAATTTCCTTTCAAAATGGGACATTTCAAAGGGAAGACAGAATACGTGTGAACATAGTCTATGGCAAAGGAAAGCATTACTGATAATGATCCTACTAGCTTTGAGGACATGATATAAAAGATGACATAGGGCTAGATTTCTCTTCCAACAACGGCAAGTATATGGAAAGGAACTTAGTAAATAGAATATAAAGTCTTAAAGTGGCTTTTTAAAAAATACAGTGTACTATGTAATAGGACATAAAGAAATCACGGTCTTCGCCTACTGCCTGGGTCGGAGAAAGCGCGGTTGGCTTGGCGGAGGGGACGGGGAGGTCGCCGCCTCTCCGGCTCGGGGAATGTCCAGCTGTAAAATGGGCGCATGGAAGACCCCAGTCTTTTAATAACAAGCACTACGTGGCAACCAAAACCTTGTCCGCCCTGTTCTGAGTGACCCTTGTTTCCAAAATGTGGGGGCTGGAGGAGCGGATCCGGAACCTAAAGAAAATGATTATCCGCCATGGAAATTAAAAAGCGAGAAGGCAGAACTGGGTGAGGTAGGGGTAGGAGAGAGGGAGAGACAAGGACGTTCTGCGCCCCCAATCCCACCACGTGACCAGCCCGTACCCACTGCTCGGCGGGCGCGGAAGCCGTCGTTGGGGCTCCACTCACCGCCCCTGGGCCGGGAGTGGGCCCTGGGACAGGAGGCAAAGAAGGAGGGTGGAGGGACTCCAGGACCCGGAGCCGGGTCCCGGGGGCGGGCCCACGGGAGCTCTGGGGGGGGCGGAGCTGTAGCTCCGGGGGCGGGGCAAGGGGCGGGGCCTCGCAGAATTCCACGGCTGCGCGCGCCACGTCTCCCTTAGCGAGCGTGTGAAGCAGAGGCAGGGGGAGGGAAAAACCGAGCTGGGCGGGAACTATCTCTTCTCGCGAGAGTAGGCGACGGCAGCGGCGGCGGCGGCGGCGTGTCCGTGAAAGTAGCGTGGGGGCGGGGAGGAGAGGCGGCGTCGGCGTCCGAGCTACGCCACACCGGACAGGAGCGCTGGGCGTCAGAGCGCTGAGCGGGGTCGTGGGGGCGGCGGGGAGAAGAGGGAGGCAGAGGAGGGTGGGCCATGGCGGGGCAGCAGTTTCAGTACGATGACAGCGGGAACACCTTCTTCTACTTCCTCACCTCCTTCGTGGGGCTCATCGTGATCCCGGCCACATACTACCTCTGGCCCCGAGACCAGAATGCCGGTAAGTTCCTCCTGCAGCTGCCCGCGGACCTGCTGAGGCCCCGCCGGCCCCTCCGGGCCGCGCCGCTCCCGCCAGCTCGGGCCCAGCCCAGCTCGCCGCGTCCGGGTGATACCGCCCGCGCGGCCCGGTCTGGCTCCAGGCGGCCGCCGCTCGCGGGCCCCGGGAGCGGCGGTGTTCATCCCGGTGCCCGTCCGGGCTCCTCTCCACCAGCCTTCATTGTCCTCCTGCAGTGGGGAGTTTCGCTTCTCCCCCTCTCCCCATTGTTCTGGACACTCGGCAGCCTCCTCCTGTCTCTTTGTCTTCTCGGCCTCTGGTTTTATTGTCTATTTTTCTTTATGGAGGGAGCAGGGTGGGAATGGGGAGTGAGAGAAGAGTTGGCAAAGGCGGTAGCCGAAGGTGCAGGCACAACTCTCAGTCCCCCAGCCACGTTCCTCTGCCCCCACCCCCGTTTCCCAGCTGCAGCTGTCGGTACAGATGTTTTAGGTACCGTCTGAGCTGGGTGGCGTGTTTAGGATTCCAGCGGAGCTCACCAGCCGTCCCTCCCCCGTCCCTTTCCCCCCCTCGCTTTTCCATTTGTTAACTCACACTTGTGGTGGTTATTCATTCCCCTTAGCAAAAATAGGCTTTTCTCTATTTCCCTTTCTTTTGGCGTTTCCTGTTTGTGGCGGAAAAAGTGCGAGTGCGAAGGATTAAGGCTTGGAGGTAGTCCGTCTTGTAGGTAGTTAGGAGGTAGCTGGTTCATTTGCTTTTAGTTCCAAATCTTTTCACATTAAATGACCATTGGATTAGAACACAGAATATAGATTCTTGTCAAGGTATTTTATGTGTGGGCAATGCGTGCATTCCATTTGTTGCACTCTCCTAGGGCATATGGCAGGTGCTATTCTTAATGCAGATGGAACTGTAAGGCCCTAATAGGTTATTTATGGAAGCGTTAACAGTGACTAGTAGGTTTTGAGTACTAACATTTAGGGAAAGTTTCTACTTCACAAGAGCTTTGCTAACTTGATTAAATTTTCCCCTAAGTTAGGTGTAGTGGAGGTCTAGGTTGTCCAGGTTATATACTGTACTTTGGGGTAAATGTTAACACAAACATTTGAATATGTCCAGAACTTATGCTTTAAGGCTGATTATTGCTTTCCAAAATTCTTTGAGTTATAGAAGTTAAAATTGAATGTAGGATAAATAATAGCAAAGGGTTCCATTTTTTTTTGTACATTTAGCAGTAATTAAAATATCCATTAGGTGCAGAATACTAATCAAAGTTACCAGTTTTCTCATTCAGTGGGTAGTTTATGAAAATTGGATTTTGATCTTTTGTGCCTTTTCTTTCCTAAGTTTATTTAAATTTCTGGGTTCTTTGGACAGTGGTTGTGTATAAGTGGTAAAGTCTATTGTTTCCCTTTATCTTCAAATCCTAGGCCATTTTGGTAATTTTATTTCAATCAAAAAGAGTTCATTTTTCAGTATAGAGTTTGTTTTCACTTATCACCCATTTGTATGTGTAGTTGGTTGTGTGGAAGACAAAATGGTATTGGGAGAATAGGTAGGTTTGGTTTGAATGTACTGCAAGCAGCTGCCCGGATTTCAGAAATTAGTCATTTTAGTCTACATTGAATTTTTGAAATTTGAAAGTTATATATGTATATATTTTTATATATATATAATTATTATTTTTTAAATATATTTTTATTGATTTCAGAGAGGAAAGGAGAGGGAAAGAGAGATAGAAACATCAATGATGAGAGAGAATCATTGATTGGCTGCCTCCTGCATGGGATTGAGCCTGCAACCCAGGCATGTGCCCTTGACTGGAATCGAACCTGGGACCCTTCAGTCTGCAGGCTGACGCTCTATCCACTGAGCCAAACCAGCTAGGGCTTGAAAGTTATATTTTCATGATGGGTTTTATATGATAAAATTTGCCTGATAACATATCATAGGCAGGTCATACTTGAGCCCCTTCATATAGTTTGGTCTTTGGAAAAGTGGTAGGGAATTAATATTGACTAAGTCAATATGGACTTCAAATGTTACTTTATTTAATCCTCAAAAATACACATTATTTTTTTAATATATTTTATTGATTTTTTTACGGAGAGGAAGGGAGAAGGATAGAGTTAGAAACATTGATGAGAGAGAAACATCGATTAGCTGCCTCCTGCACACTCCCTACTGGGGATGTGCCCGCAACCAAGGTACATGCCCTTGACCAGAATCGAACTTGGGACCCTTGAGTCCGCAGGCCGATGCTCTATCCACTGAGCCAAACCGGTTAGGGCAGTAGGTACTATTATTATCACCTTTATTCCTACATGCAGAAACTGGAATTTAGAGAGCTTAAGTAACTTTCCTGTGTGGTGTGGTAGAGCCAGGTCAGTTTAGCTTCCAGTCCCTCTGTTATTTCCATATTGCTAGATAGAAAGTTAGATGTTTATCTGCCCTTTCTTCACACCTTTGCCTTAGCCAGTAAGTGTGCCTATGTTGATGTTTGTTTGGTCTTGCCTCACATTGCATTATAAAAGTTAAGGTGGATACTTAAATGCTATTCTAATCATGAAAATTGGTGTGTATCTTTAGAATAGAGTCGTTTCTTTAGAATTGCAGTGGTATTAAAAGGATGTTTTTGTCATAGTGACATTTTCCCCAAAGTGTCTTGAATATCAGAGAAATCTTGAATTATAGGTTCACCCAAAGCTCTGAAAAAAATAGTTTTTCATATTTTTGCAGCAAAATAATTTGGTGACTGGTACTGACAGGAGGCTACTTATAATATTTATTCATCTCACTTAAAAAATCATATTTTGCTGTTGTAGTATTTCTTCGTTTGTTTATTGGAGCTGTTTTAGACCTCCAGGGCTTGTTAGGGTAGAAATATACTGTCTTTCTAAAATCTGAGAAATTCTGAAGTATATCTGTCCTCAAAGATTTTGAATAAAGGATGTGGACCTGTAATAGTACTTTTGAATAACACAATAGGATATTTTAATATTTGAGTTTTAAGCTTACATTTTTTAATTTTCCTGTGAAACTGTAAGTAGCCAGTACAAAAAGTTAGGCATATGAGTCTGAATTTCAGAGTTCTTATGGCAGTCTTGACTTTTCAGGGATATCCTCTGTATGAAAGCATGAAAAGATTTTCTTTGCCAGCAATTATACAACCTTAAAGTTTAGTTTAAGTAATTTTTGTTTAGCTTTTTTTAAAAAGATGACATATTTGGGGCTTTTAGTTTCATGGTTAATAGTTGTTTTAGTGTAGCTCATTTGGAATTATTGGGCTCTCAGAAAATATGGCACCATTTCACAGATTGTAAAATCTAGGATTTGAGAAATAGAAATAGCTTGGTCGTTGGCATATTTGGCATGTTAGTTGAAGTTAGTCTGTTATCCAAAACATTATCAGTAGGATCCTTTTGCCTTGATGTTTTGTCTAATATTTTGGGTTAAGTGGGCTTATAATTAATACCCCTTTTAGTAGTTGAAGGTGATAATATTGTAATGAACCCAGTTATTAATAACTGGAAAGGAGCAAAGAAGGCCAAATATTATAGGCATGCCCAATGAAGTCTGGGTGAAATAGGGAAGGTACTTTGTCTGTTAGTCACACCTAGGAACAAGTCATTGGCCAGAGTAGGTGTGGCTACAGCAAGTGTGGGAAGATTTAAGATACTTAAGCTCCTAGCCAGCCGTGGGCAAACTATGGCCCGCGGGCCGGATCCGGCCGGTTGGAAATGAATAAAACTAAAAAAAAAAAAGACCGTACCCTTTAATGTAATGATGTTTACTTTGAATTTATATTAGTTCACACAAACACTCCATCCATGCTTTTGTTCCGGCCATCCGGTCCAGTTTAAGAACCCATTGTGGCCCTCGAGTCAAAAAGTTTGCCCACCCCTGTGACAGAGGAGTTCTCTCTCCTGCTTGCTCGTATTTGACTCCTGGCTTGTGGTGTTCTCATGCTCCTGCATTTGCCCACATGGCCCACTGCCATGTGTACCCCCCCCCCCCCCCCCCACACACACACAATGGACTGATGGAATGTAACTAGCCTGACCCAGCACTACCAGGACTGGAAATTGGACACTAGTTTTGTTTCTAGCTCTGCTGAATCTCCATTTGCAAACAGAGGGATGTAACTCCACATAAGTCTCTCATCCTCTTGTGAGAGTTTCAGAAGATCATTTGTCTTGATATTGTAAGGACCTCCCCGCTAGCACTCAGTTGGGAAAAGCGATTTTCCACATCCACTGGTGGATAACACTTTGATAACAATTAGACATTTATATAACTTATGAAGCAATCATCCCAATAAGTCTAGTACCCACCTGACACTATACTTAGTTATTGTAATGTCATTGACTATATTCCCTGTGCTGTACTTTACCTCCCCATGACTGTTTTTGGAACTGGCAGTTTGAACTCCTTAATCCCTTCACCTTTTTCTTCCATCCTGCCCAACCTTGCTCCCATCTATCTGGTGGTCAATGATTTGTTTTCTGTATCTATGAGTTTGTTTTTGTTTTGTTTGTTTATATTGTTTTTCAGATTCCACATATAAGTGAAATCATACAGTATTTATCTTTTTCTGACATATTTAACTTTGCATAATACCCTCTAGATCAGCCGTGGGCAAACTACGGCCCGCGGGCCGGATCCGGCCCGTTTGAAATGAATAAAACTATTGAAATAAAAGACCGTACCCTTTTATGTAATGATGTTTACTTTGAATTTATATTAGTTCACACAAACACTCCATCCATGCTTTTGTTCCGGCCCTCCGGTCCAGTTTAAGAACCCATTGTGGCCCTCGAGTCAAAAAGTTTGCCCACCCCTGCTCTAGATCCACCTCTGTTGTTGAAAAGGCAAGATTTCATTATTTTTTATGGTTGAGCAAAATTCCATTTTGTGTGTGTGTGTGTGTATTACGAGGGAGAGGGAGCGAGAGATAGAAACATCAATGATGAGAGAGAATCATTGATTGGCTGCCTCCTACACACCCC